CACAGACAACCTCTCGTCAATATGCGTTTTTCGCATTGCATTGCTGCAAAAAACGCATAATAATAGCTGCAGTTTTTTCAAAATATTTGTTCATACAAAAAATCTATACTTAAATTGAATTTCGATTTGCACTTGAGCCACGACTTAGGGCACTTCAAAAATATTTGTAATGAAGAAGCTATTTTGCCTATCAAACAAGCTGTGAAGCTGAAACTCGGCAAAAATATTCTATATTCAAGTGCAGACTTAATTCAGCTTGAAGATTTCAGCCCTACGACAAATTCTCAGTTTTATCGCAAGCTCGAATACAAAAGCATTTTGTGGATTTTATAATCCTAAAAATTCCGATTTCCTTTAAACTTGCATTTTTTTAGAAAACAAGGATTCGCTGAAAAAAAAACCGGACTCCATACAAAAAACTAATGATCACGTATGCTGGAGGCCCATGCGACCCCATTATGCGACACCATCCACCCGACGTCCTTTCCTCCTGTATGCGGGAAAAGCCCAGCTATTAAACTGCAGCGTAAGAACCATTCCTGCTTTTGGCGATCTCCATGTTTGGTGCAAAAACGTATAACCGCATCAGCTAGCCTGGTGCGTTGCAGCCTGAGTTTTAATGTAATTTCTTTTACTCTTCTATTTATTCTGTCTAAATTCATTCGCATAGGCTGCACTGTTGCTACAGTTAGTCGCGCTCCAGTTAGTACCTATGTGTATTTTATACAATAGCGCTACTTTTTCGGAGGCCACCGAAGTGGTCTTTCACTTACTGAAATGAGATGCCCATCGCTTGTCAGTAAAACAAGCAAAATCCAAGGTATGCTTGGATTAAAACTATTTATCATTTGTTCATTGTAGATTGAATGAGCAACAACAGTCACGCAATTTAAATTATTTCCGGTGAATAAATTACACAAATTAATTCGGAGCCAATATGAACAACATCGTTACTTTTTAGGGTTTCTTCTTTTGAGCTTTGTTCAGAGGCTACCAGCAGCTTTCATCGCCATTCGTACCGCTTTACTGGCAGGACGGAATAGCTGAATTAATCGTAATATTCTGCGCATATTATATAAATTGGCACTCCCAGTGCGAAGAAGTGGCAGCAGAGAAACATTCCCGAATGTCAATCAAGATGTATACGAGGACTTGGCTTTCAAATATACCAGGAATGACAAAATTCACCGAAAATTCTTCTCTGTTATCCAGGTGTTCCAGACAAACAGCTAGCTCCACACAGTCAATCTTATGTGTCATCTCATTAGCCAATACCCCGATTATGTGCTGCCTCGTCACCTCTTCTCATCCGAGTTTTTATGCTGACATTGAATAGTGAGCTGTGAAATCAATTTTTCTTGTGAAATACTTCACTAGCAAGAGAAGGTGTGTTGTGGCCGGTCAAACTCTGTCTTGCTTTTTTTTTTCATTTATATATTCCAGGTATTTTACTATGAATGGCAAAGACAGTCTAGGCGATCAGTGTGTTTATTCCATGTTAATGATGTTATATGTTAGATACTCTTACTTGCCGGACGCAGATATACCATGGGAAGTAAAATAATTAAATTTTAACTAATTTTGAAGAAAGGATCTAGTGGTCGAAGTCACTATTCCGGTGAGCTAGCTGTTAGTTGATCAGCGAGTAGTATGGTTCCAACCTAGAATGAGCATTCATCTCTTCCGAGACAGTCATCGTTCCGCCGGCATTATCAAACTGTCCGCAGTTGTGTGGTGCCGAAAAAGTAGTGACCAGGCGCTGATTGGCAAAAAACTCATATCCATCCTGTACCACTTGGTGGGCACGGGCAATGAGGCCCAGGTCGAGCTTCTGGCACACGTCCACCACAGCATCCTGCCCAAATGTATACGAAGCAACACGTGTATTCGCCTGCCAGCCTTTTACCCGCTGATCCAGACCCGATCTGAAATGGTGGCCCCATCACTGATATCTGGTAATTATCCGGAAAACAAGGAAGCAACACGGACCAGAAAAGATCGATTTCCGTAGGATGGATTGGGCAGATCAATTAGACGCGGCAGATTGCGAAGCTGATCCAGATTGTTCAGATGCGGTGAGAGGCCACCGTGCATGCAGAGAATTCGTCCACCAATATACCCAGTGAGTGGCATCCAATTGAG